GTTTTCTTTTCTTTTCTTTCCTTTGGGGGTCGAGAGGAGAAGACCATAATGAAAATTTTTAGTGGCTCTCATATGCATGGTTGTTGATTTAACTTAGAGCCCATATTACCTTGTCTTCTCCCTTGAATTGAATGCTTACAGATTCCAGCTTAGTCCAATGCACGTGCACTATTATTATTATACACACCGTTCGGTCGTGCAAGTGAAAGGCAATAATGACGATATATGATGAACTGATTGAGATGAGAGAAGCTGGTATGAACTCGACCTCTCTTGTTTTTGTAAATATGATGAGTTCATCGTTCCTGATTCAGCCTATTATGAATAAAAATGTTTGCAATGACAATTAGAGATTGTAGTTGCTTATGCCATGCTTAATTAGCTAGGAGCTTATAATGGTTTACCTTGCGTGCCAACATGCTATTAAAATGGCTGTGATGTGGTATTTTTTTTGACAGAAAGACTGTAAGGAAACCCCTTACAGTATAATTGGTGCAACAAACCTAAATTGCAAGTACCGTGCCTTGAATCTGGGTGGGTGGGAAGGCATCAACCCCTTCCTACCACTAGGCTATGCCTTAGGTTGTGATGTGGTACGGTAGGGTGGTATCCTCCTTTGAATGATTCGAGTGACTTGACTTGGCACATGTTCACGCATGTAGTTGAAACAAAATCAACATAGCCTTTACGATATTTATGTTCATGGTGGATTATATCCTACTCATGCTTGCACTCGATGTTGATTAATTTTAATACATGTTCATGACTGTTGTCGCTCTCTCAGTTAGTCGCTTCCCAGTCTTTTGTCAGCCTTCACTTGTACTAAGCAGGAATACTACTTGTGCATCCAAACTCCATAAACCCCAAAGTTGTTCCATATGAGTCCACCATACCTTCCTATATGCGGTATTTACCTGCCGTTCCAAGTAAACTTGTATGTGCCAAACTCCAAATCTTCAAATGAAATTCTGTTTTGTATGCTCGAGCAGCTCATGTTTAAACTAGGGATGTCTGTATCTTCCATGCTAGGTGGGTTATTCTCAAGGGGAGTGGACTCCGCTCCTCATTCACGAGAAAATGGCTGGTAACCGGGATGCCCAGTTCATGATCAAAAAGATCAAAGCAAATCAAAATAATTAAACAAAACTCCCCCAGGGCTGTTGCTAGTTGGAGGCACTCGTTGTTTCAAGCAAGCCATGGATTGATGCTTGTTGGTGGTGGGGGAGTATAAACTTTACCATTCTGTTCGGGAACCGCCTATAATGTACGTAGCATGGAAGATATCGATATCTCATAGTTGTTGCGTTGACAGTGAAAGTATGCCGCTCAAAATGTTATTCATCTCTATTTTAAAATCGAGCTCTGGCACCTCTACAAATCCCTACTTCCCTCTGCGAAGGGCCTATCTATTTACTTTTATGTTGAGTCATCACCCTCTTATTAAAAAGCACCCGCTGGAGAGCACACTGTCATTTGCATGCATTACTATTAGTTTATATTGGGTATGACTTGACTGGATCTCTTTTACCATGAATTACAATGTTTAGTCAGTCCTTGATCTTTAAAGGTGCTCTGCATTTATGTTTTGCGGTCTCAGAAAGGGCTAGCGAGATACCATCTTGTTATATCATATTATGATTGCTCTGAGAAAGTGTTGTCATCCGAGATTTATTATTATTGCTCGCTAGTTGATTATGCCATTGATATGAGTAAACATGAGACCTAAGTGTTATTGTGAATATGGTTAGTTCATAATCTTTGCTGAAAACTCGAATGTCGGCCTTACATATTTACAACGACAAGAGCAAACAAAGTTTGTAAAAGTTTTCTTTATCACTTTCAGTTTATCAACTGAATTGCTTGAGGACAAGCAAAGGTTTAAGCTTTGGGGAGCTGATACATCTCCAACGTATCTACTTTTCCAAACACTTTTGCCCTTGTTTTGGACTCTAACTTGCATGATTTGACTGAAACTAACCCGGACTGACGCTGTTTTCAGCAGAACTGCCATGGTGTTGTTTATTGTGCAGAAAACAAAAGTTCTCGGAATGACATGAAAATCCACGGAGATAACTTTTGGAAAATATAAAAAATACTGACGAAGGAATCAAGGCCTGGGGCCCACACCCTGTCCACAAGGGTGGAGGGCGTGCCCCCTCCCCCTGGGCGTGCCCCCCTGTCTCGTGGGCCCCCTGATGCTCCACCGACCTCAACTCCAACTCTATATATTCCGTTTCACGGAGAAAAAAATCAGAGAGAAAGTATCATCGCGTTTTACGATACGAAGCCGCCGCCAAGCCCTAATCTCTCTCGGGAGGGCTGATCTGGAGTCCGTTCGGGGCTCCGGAGAGGGGGATTCGTCGCTGTCGTCATCATCAACCATCCTCCATCACCAATTTCATGACGCTCACCGCCGTGCGTGAGTAATTCCATCGCAGGCTTGCTGGACGGTGATAGGTTGGATGAGATTTACCATGTAATAAAGTTAGTTTTGTTAGGGTTTGATCTCTAGCATCCACTATATTCTGAGATTGATGTTGCTATGACTTTGCTATGCTTAATGCTTGTCACTAGGGCCCGAGTGCCATGATTTCGGATCTGAACCTATTATGTTTTCATGAATATATGTGAGTTCTTGATCCTATCTTGCAAGTCTATAGTCACTTATTATGTGTTATGATCCGACAACTCCGAAGTGACAATAATCGGGATACTTCTCGGTGATGACCGTAGTTTGAGGAGTTCATGTATTCACTAAGCGCTAATGCTTTGGTTCGGTTCTCTATTAAAAGGAGGCCTTAATATCTCTTAGTTTCCATTAGGACCCCACTGCCATGGGAGGGTAGGACAAAAGATTTCACGTAAGTTCTTTTCCATAAGCACGTATGACTATATCCGGAATACATGCCTACATTACATTGATGAACTTGAGCTAGTTCTGTGTCACCCTATGTTATAACTATTACATGAGGAATCACATCCGACATAATTATCCATTACTGATCCAATGCCTACGAGCTTTTCACATATTGTGCCTTGCTTATTTACTTTTCCGTTGCTACTGTTACAACTACTACAAAACTGCTATCTTTACTTTTGCCACTATTACCATTACTATCATACTGCTTTGCTACTAAATACTTTGCTGCAGATATTAAGTTATTCAGGTGTGGTTGAATTGACAACTCAACTACTAATACTTGAGAATATTCTTTGGCTTTCCTTGTGTCGAATCAATAAATTTAGGTTGAATACTCTATCATCGAAAACTGTTGCGATCCCCTATACTTGTGGGTTATCAATAGGCTGTTATTTGGGACGATTTTGACGGCATGCCAAGCACACTAGTCAGCTAGGTTGTTGGCCTGATAGGCTGTTATTTGGGCCGATTTTGGCCTATTGGGTTGTTTCTTATGCCATTTATATACAAAATAAATAAATAAATAAGGTAAACAGGCCGTGCCATGCTGGCCCGCGTGCCTAGCCTTCAAGCTCAGGCATGGCCCAAGGCATGTCGTGTGCCTGGCACGACCCGATTAGAGTGTGTCGGGTTTGGCCCGTCATGTGCCATGCCAGCGTGCTCGCGGGCCGGCATGCCAGGCCCGACCCGTTTGGCCAGCTTTGATCCCGTGGGTACTCTTTTACGGAAGGAGAAGAAAGCACACTAAACCCTATTCGGCGCCTTAAGCGTTCGAATTAGGCGTTTTCGCAAACGGGCGCATACCCCTCCTGCGCGATGGGCCAGCCCATTTATTCCTATTTTTTGTTTCAAATTGCAAAATACTGCGCACAGGTGACAATCGAACTCGTGACCTCCTCTGTTTAACTTGGCTGCGGTAGCCATTTACGCAACTACTTCGCTTTGATTTGTGAGATCCTTTTTATTCTTTTAGTGCATCATCTCTTTTTCCCTTTTTTTTCTTGTTCCTTTTTCCTTTCTTTTTCTTAAATGCATATATTTTTTTAAACCTAGTTCATGAACTTTTTTATTAAAAAATGATAATGTTTTTGAATTCGTGAACTTTTTCAAATTAGTGAACTTTTTTATCGAAATTGATGAACTTTTTCAAACCCGTGAACTTGTTTCAAAATTTGGTGAGTGTTTTTCAAATTTGTGAACTTTTTGATCAAAATGGATGAACTATTTTTAAATTTGTGAACTTTTTGATCAAAATTGATTAACTTTTTTAAAATTCGGTGAACTATTTTCAAATCTATACACTTTTGTTAAATCAAAATCGATGAACTTTTTTTAAATCCGTGAACTTTTTTTAAGTGATGAACGTTTTCGAAAACCGATGAACTTTTTTCAAATTCATGAAATCATTTTTATATTTCAATTTTTTTCAAAGAAATTATACTAGGACTGAAACAAGGGTCTAATTGTGTTCTCTTTCGCATTAATAACATCTAAGCTAGTGAGGTGCAGTGGTTATTGCGGCAACTGCTTTAGCGTACACATGCTTGTTCAATTCCCACTACTCGCAAAATACTACCGCTCTGTCCCCATTTTTTTTTACCGAGCGATGCTGGGCCGGCCCATTACTTCTTGCCTTCGAGCGCCAGATGGCTTAAGGGGCGCCGAAGAGGAGCGCGCAGAAAGCACGGTTCTTTTTGTATTTTTTCTTTGGCTGGAAAAAATGGGGTGTGCGAGGAGGAAATTGGTGTGGCCGTCCGATGAAAAAGGCGAGATATTTTTTTGAAGGGAAAGACGAAACCTTAGCAGCACAGAAAAAGAAACTTCCCGCAAAATAATCCCGCCAAAATTGACCCCCCACCCCCCACCCTCCACCCAAAATGATCCCGCCAAAATTGAAACTTTCCTCCCAAAATGATCCCGCCCTCCATTTCATCTTCCCGCCGCCCCCCATCCCAGCA